TATACACACAGTCCATTACCATTTCATTTGAAGCTTCTCATTCACTCACTCACACACACAAAAGTGATAGTGAGTTGACAATAAGAAGAGAGAGAGATGTATTCAAAGTAAAAATGTGAGTGTTTGCACACTGATCAATAATTGCTCATTATGTACAACGGGTTCAAGAAGGAAATTACACACGTGTTACATAAACACCACAGCAACGCTTCAAGATGAAGATGTCTCATTCAATTTTATGTCTGTGTGTGTCTTTGTGTGCATGCACCTGTGGATTGATAATGGATGTGTTTTTCATTTGAGGCACCACACAGATCAAAGCCTTGCTGGGCATCTGAACTGCTGGATGAAACAGCCACACACACTCTCTCACACACTCTCACACACTCTCTCACACACAACCACACACAGAAAATGCCTCCCGCTTGCTTTGTGTCCTCTGTCGGTGCCTGATAGCGGGATAGTGAGTGTGATGGACAGTTGGACTGACACCCAGGTGAGAGAAGGAAGTATTCACAACCACGCCATTAGCTGTAGCTATCACCAAGGCCACTTTGCCATGACAACAAGGAATCTCATCACCATGGTAACGCAAGAAGCGAATGAGTAGGAAATGACACAGAGGAAATGAGGCTCAGGAGCAAACCAGGCAGCGAGCCAGTGGTTCCCACATGCCAGTTTCCTTCTGCAGTGTCCAAGTGTATTGGAAAAATCCATATTACAATAAATCTTAAGAAAATACTGCAGACAGTGTTTAATCGGAAATATAGAGAGAAAAATATTTTTTTAGATGTGACCACAAAACAGGGATCATGACAAAATTGTAAACAATCATATTAAAACACATGAATAGTAAACACCTTTTCGCACTTTAACATTCATGTATTCATGTTTGTTCAAAAAAGAACTGAAATGTGCAGATTTAATACTTAACTGTCCTCATTATGAGCTTATTTTGAGAAAACACCTCCATTACACAGAATATAGCTTTTGGAGCAGAAACTTTGAGACTCAGCGGGGGGGACGTCATTAGATGAAACCAACAGTGTTTCATCTTGTCAGACAGTAAAAGCAACGCCCCACAGGACCAATGCAGCATCTTTTGCTGGTGTCTCGGAGCGGGGGTTCTTTTCAGGATATCCAGAACAGCGTTCCAGCTTGAAGAGCTTGTTTGCATCCTAATTTCCACTCAAACAGACTTTAAATGAATATCTAGTTTTCACCTGAGAAAAAAAAGTGTCTCTGCTGCGCAGGAGAGGCTGTTTGGTTTGACCACTTTTTACTCAACAGCAAAGTCGAGTCTGTCTGTCCTTACCTGTGAGCTGACAGTCGTCGTTGGAGCCTGCAGAGTCTTCCTGGTTGGGGCTGAGGGGGGGGCTGGCAGGGGGGCTGGTGCTGAAGCTGGCGTAGCCCAGGGACGAGCTCACCTCGCTAGGCTCACAGCTGTGGTTCACTGGCCTTTGGACGTCCAGGGATGAGGACAGAGAGGTTCGCTGCTTGGGCTGTAGGCAAGACAGGAGTGGGTCGAGAGATTATACTTTAACTATAGCCTCTCGTGTAACTGACAGTAATGTGGCTTTATTCATTGGTTCATGGCTTATGTAACATGTACAAATGGTGCAAGGATAGAAAAAAGAGAGGGATAGGGATTAGAAGTGCGAGGTGATAGAAAGATGGAGAAATGGACAAAAACAGAGAGCGAGAGAGAAAGTCATAATGACAGCTTACAGCAGAGTGAGAGAGAGAGAGACAGAGAGGCAGAGGACAAGTGAAACTGTAGACTGGCACCTGGTAAACACATCTTACATAATGAGGCATTTGCAGCTCACAACAACCTGCTGCTGCTTCTCAAACAGCTCCGACAGTCAACATCCTGCTGCTGTGTGTGTGTGTGTGTGTGTGTGTGTGAGTGTGAGTGTGTGTCAAATCAATACAGTGAAGCACAAGGTTAAAATAAAATACTGAAATACTGAATGAGACTGACACACGACATGCACCACCTTCATATGACCTTCACTGTGAGTGCAGGCACAAAAACTGACCCTTGACAAAGAAAGAAGAAGGGAATGGAAATAAATGCAGGGAAGGGGAGAATGTTTGTATGCAAAGGAATTGGGTTTTGAAGCATCTACAGATCTACCGGACTAAAGTGAGATGAAAACAAAGGCGTAATCAGAGCGGATGAGAGGATGCATGAGAGATGAAGAGGAATGGAGAGGACTGGACAGGGTGAAATGAGAAACTGTGGAGATTAAAAGACATGTTGAGAGAAAATGGCAGCACCGAGGAAAAGAGAAAAAAGGGAGGGAACAGGACCCAGAACAAAAGAAATGATGGGAGGAGGTAGGAATGTTAAGCAGGAGAGGAAGAAAGAGTTGGACGAGAGGAGTGAAGCTACAGAGGAATGAAAGACAAGAGGAGGGAGCATCACAAAAGAAAGGAGGAGGAAGGAACTTTACATGGAAGCTACGAATTATTATTTTATTAAACGTGAAAATGAATATACGGTATGTCTTATGATTAAAACGACGTTCACACTAAACCTGATATCAGCCAATAAAGACAGAGCTTTTCACTGCATATATCTAAAGAGTAGAAAGACACGGATAGAACTAACTTCCCGACCAGAGCAGCCACAGCAGCACTTTTCTTTTCCAGTGGACAGTTGGTCAATGGGGAATAACACCACAGCAGCAACATCCCAGAGACCACAGAGGCTTAAAGGACCAATACATCAAGCAGACAGGACAGAAGAGCAACGGGGAATAAAGAAAATGATGTATGAGCTCAACAGGGAATCATCCCGACAGGGCGAGGGGAGAGACACGACACAACCTCGCTCTCAAACACAAATCAAATCTTTGTGATTAAAAAAAAAAAAAAAAGTAAAATAAATCTAATACGGTCAAATAAAAACCAATTCTTCATTTGTGCCCATGTAAACACAGAACCTATAATGTTGTGTAGGTCAGCTCTCATCAGATAATCAGTCCGAGACCCTTAGTCGACTGAGTAGTGCTGGCCTGCTGCACACTAGAGGATCATCAAAACCATCTCGGGTCTGATTCGACCCTCCAGACGATAGACTTCACAATTTGAGGCTGATCCGAACAAATTCGACATAATCTTAAAGTCACCGTCTAAATCATTTCCCAGGTTTGAATGGTAAATATCACATCCACGGGTGTGGTCCTGCGTCTCGACTGGACCGTCTAGTGTAAAATCAAAAATACCTGGGGACAGATCTGGAAGATAACTTAACTTGTTCTACCAAACCATGTTCACAAATCTGGCAGTTTACTAGATTGTGCTTGTCAGTATAGAAAAAAAATAAATCGTCAAATATTGAACGGTTAAATCTGGTTTGACTGACAAACATCTTCAATCAGGTGCAGCTCTACAGTGTTTACTTGTCTGCAGGTTTAAAAACAAACACAAAAGGATGTAAAATGTTGACTTAAAATGGTAATCGACCCAGAAAGATGGAGCTGCTGCTGTGGGACACTGTGGCATTTCAAAGTGAGAGGTTGCACCAGTGTGTGTGTGTGTGCGAGTGTGTGTTTGCTACCTAATGTTTAATGAGTTTATTGACAACTTCAACGTCTCCTTTTCATCGTTCAAACATGTCTTAACACCCGCACTCATCTCCGCCTTGTCTATGTGCATTTTGCTTCAGCTTCTTTCTAACAGCTAAAGGCGACGTCTCTCTGGGCTCACGTCTATTAAGAGCTCACACGTGCACATAAACACACTCACACCCAACAAAACACACACAGACACAAACACACACACACAGACACACACACTACACACTGTAGTTCTGGCTGAGTCTTAGCGTGTACAATGCAAATGGACGGCAGGCTAATGAACATGCCATGGCCGATTGGATTAATGAGCGCACAGACACACACAATGACACGCACGTACACACACACAGGAAGGGAGGGCCTCCATGCCTGTCTAAACTACAGCGAAAACCATTCTCTCCGCCTGCACCAGCATCCCTGGGGGACAACATGCTGTTTAACACTTAACTAATGGGTGTAGGGGCTAATAATTGACATATCCATTAGCTAGAAAAATAGTATTTCCTCACCGAAGACGATTCGAGACACGCCTCTGCAGTTTGAGTTTTTTGCACGGACTGAAAACGTTCTTTCTACGTGAAAAATGAGAAATAATGTTGATTCATGAACGATGCCGGAATCAGTTATAAAATTATCATAATTACCGGATCAGATACTGTAGAGTCGGGAAACAAATATCCACTGTTGATGAATGGGACTTCAGCAGAAGCAGATTATACTGTGCGTCATGCTAAAACAATAACAGAATGTAGTTGTACTAAGAACGAGGGGGTTTGGTCCATTTGGTCTCTTTACCGGCTGACAGATTCAGCAGTTAAACTAGAGCTGGGGACTGAAAAGTAATTATCCTCATGGTTTTAATCGATATTTTCTGTCGTTGGAACAACTTCTCTCGTGTTAACAGTAGCTTGGAATTAATGATGCTGCATCGAGCGATGTGTCTTTAGAAGAAGTAGAGTTGCAGGAAGAAAAAAATAAACCACATCAGCATTCACACACACACACACACACTCCACCTCCAGTCCCTAACCTAAAATATCCTGGATGCAGAGGATCTATGGAACTTTTAACGTAATTTGGAGCCAGGCAGCCTTGTGATAGAATCGGATGTTGGTGGTCAGATCATCGTCTCAAATCATAGTTCTGACATCAGAGCAAGTAGCTTGTTTTTCTCAAACACCTCCCTCCCATTATCTGCACTCAGTCCACTTGTTCCTTTAGTCAGATGAAATAGTCTTTCACTCTGTCCATCAAGTGAAACTGTGAGAAACGCAGGAGGTTAAACTGCGTCCGCTTTGAACGGACAGTAATTCACCTCCGGTCCGCTCCGCAGCACTCAAGCAGTTTTCCTGCCACATTCATGATGGCACACAATTTAAAATGCAGTGCAGAGGCCAGCAGGGGCGAGCAGTCCATTTGGTTCATAAGCAGCAAGGTGATTGAACGGCCCGGCTCAAAGTACTACATACAGATTATTTTGTTATGGGCTGGGTAATGCCAGGAAATAGCTCGCACGTGTAACTCCCACTGGTGAGCTTTTAGCACTAGCTTGTTTCAAACAGCAGTGTGTGACCTGTGTCTCTCCTCTGGGGCCACAGGCTAAATATCCTGCTGAGCCGGGAACCACACACATACACACACATTGTATAGACAGTGGTGTCAAATAAAAGTTTTTATATCAGCAAACATAAATGCAGATTCTGCACGAGCCATTATTACGTTACATACACAATATGTAACTTCGTCCACCAGGGGTCTCTCAGAATATAACGAAAGACCTAGTTTGATGATGTCGTGAAGGATCGAGGGATCATGTGATCATTTATTGTCTTCACCAGCGAATCGAAAATCTACCTGACGCGACTCGGACGTAAATCGTGTTCACGGATGAGGTCAAGTTATTATATCTTTAAAACAGGGGAGTAGTCAGCTGGCAGCTATAGTGGGAAGAATGGTGGGGTTTGAACAGAGTGAAGTTTTGTGGCTCACCAACACATGCATCATTTTCTTTCACCTTATCGTCCATTATCTCTCTCTCACTACTGTTCTCGCTGCCCATCAACGCCAAACAACCACCATGATTGTTTTATCGATTGTGTGTGCATGTGTGTGTGTGTGTGTGTGTGTGTGTGTGTGTTTCTGCACATGTGGGCCCAGCCTCAGGACAACGGGGACAGAGCTGAGTCCCATTCCTGGATCTATACAGTGCCATCATGCTCAGATCCAAGGAAATATGCTGGAAGATTAACTGACTGGAGCAACACTGTCAGTGTTCATCAACAGTGTCTGTGTGTGTGTGTGTGTGTGTGTGTGTGTGTGTGTGTGTGTGAGTGTGAGTGTGAGCAGATTAATGAGCTCTAAATGCCAAAGTGATTAGTGATTTTCTGGGGGAAAAAAGTCTCTCAGCTCCACGAGTCTCACAAATGGAGACACATTGACAAACGTGTCTAAAAACAGATTTAACACTAAACAAACTCCACAAATGAAACTTTGCTGAAATACTGAGGAAAGAAAACAGCGATACATCATCATATCTAGCATGAGACTATAAACTATTTTACTCATTCGTCTAATGATGTTTTGTTAATGGATGGAAAGCATAGTTAATCAGAAAAATGAGTTTAAAAATCTGAAAAATGTTCTTCTGATCTAGTTCTCATGCAGAACAAGGTGTTGATTTACTGCGGAATTGATGGTGCTAGAAACTCATTCTCAGTGCTTGCCTATTTTTAGGTTATAAAAACTTTTTTATCTTTTTTTAAACTGTATCAAGCTAAACTAACTAACTTTAAAAATCTGTAGTTTATCTAGATTACATTGGGAGATTTTGTAAATCCCAAAAAATCCCAAAGTGATATTTCAATATTATTTGGTATATTTAACCAGCTGATAAATCAATTACAGTTCTTTGTCAT